CCGTCGCCGCTGCAGCCCGGACACCCCTCAGCTTGCTTGGGAGTGTCCACAGCCCAGTGGGTGAAGAGGGCATGAAGTGGACGTCAGGTTTCTTGAGTTCTAGGCTCCCGGCCGGTCACGGGTCCTTGGAAAAGTCACTGTTCTCTGGGCCTCAGTTTCTTCATCCGGAATATAAAAGGGTTAGACCTGACTCTTTCCTCTGCCCCCTTCCTCTGTCCCTCCTGCTTCCGTGGGGAGTTCCGGGGCATCTGTCATACGTGGAGGGCTCTGCACAGATGCTAAGATGAGTGAGGTTCAACCAAGAATCTAGAGGGGGAGGCAGACGAAGTACCGAATGCAGCAAACACGCCGTGACGCCTGTAACTGCAGAAACCCGTGCGGGCAGGGACAAGTAGGGCGGACAGGCTGATTTGCTGCGAGGGGAGCGGGGACAGCGCCAGGCAGCATCGCTCCGGGTTCTGAGCTGCGTGTGGAAGAGAACAGGTGATGTGAGTCCCCCCCCAGCCCCGACCCTCAGTAAGTCCCGTGAGATGTGCCCGTGTGGTGAGGAGACTGGCCCTTGCTGTCCCTGCAAGACAGTGAGAAGTCCAGAGTGGCGACCACGGGGGTCCTGATCTGGGCCGTGGTGGTGCCGTTGATGAGACTTGGGGGGCGGGGGGCGCGGAGGACAGGGGTGGCTCTAACTGGGTGAACACTCATCCAGCCCCCGGTCCTTCCCAGTCTAGGTGGTGCTTGGCACCTGGAGGCCCCCAGCAAACACTTAGGGGAGTGGACTGCACCACCACCTGTGCGACCTCCGCCCCCTCCCCGTGCCACGGGTGCCCCGGCACTGCGGGCAGAGAGCACTCCTGCCCCGGGGTCCTCCCGTGTTGGGAGCCCCAGCATCCCGGGCCTGCTGCACCGGCCGGTCCCCTCCCCGACCCCAGCCCAGAAGCCATTCAGCAGCTGACGAGGAGAGGAAAACCCTGCGATGACTTTTGCACCCCGCCTGCTTTCCCCTGGGTCTGACAGGCAACTTTTTGGCCATGTTTCTTTATAAATGGGCCGTTCCTAAAATTACACGGCCTGGGTGACCTGCCCGCCCCTCCCGGCCTGCCCGTGTCCTGGTTGGTAAGAAGGCCAGCTTCACCCTCTGCAGGGCTTTCTGCCTGATTGGCTACAGGCTATGGTTTTGAAAAATGTACTTAATATTCCAAAGAAATCCAACCCAGTTTCTGTAAGGAGCCAGATACTGTTGAATCAGCTCTATGCAAATAGCCGGTGCTCAGCAGGGTCATTTGGCTCCGGCCCCAGTCGGTCTTCCGCAGGGCCTCTTCCACCGCTCTTTCTGCTGACCCGGCATCTCTGAACCGCTTGACGAAAGCCACGAGCATCTTGCTGGAGGTGTATTGGCAGATGGTCGTGGGGACGTGTCACCCATGCGGAAGACCTCCGAGCTTGTCATCCGGCCATTTTACAGATGAAGAAACTGAGGCTTCCAGAGGCGAAATGTCTGCACAGTCACATACTTAGTCAGGGCCACGGCCAGGGCTGGGACCCAAGCCCACTGACCCCTTCCCTCCCAAGATGCCCTCTGGTGATCCGTGCCGACGTTGGGCAGCTTTGACTTCTCCTGTCCACAGGAAAGATCGTTTTCTAAAGAGCCAACCAGGTCCCAAGCAGGACACCCCCTGAAGGACTTGAAACTCTCTTGCCCCGGATGGCAAATCCCATTGGGTGTCCCCAGCAGACGCTATGTGACACCCCAGGGGAGGTCTGGGGGCCCCACTGACTCGGACTCGCCTCCTGATTTCTTCTGCACATCAGGACCAGTGTGAATTTGTTGCTTTCCAGACCTTAATCAGGACGGTGTGTCTGCCCAGACCCTCCCCTGTGGGCGAGGGCCCTGCTGCCACCCTGGCTGAGCTGCAGCCCTGCCTGCTTTGCAGATCCCAGCCGTTTCTGTGACCGGGACACGCTCCTCTCTTAGGGGGTCAGTGTGCTTATCCGTGGCTGCATTGCTCACAGCACCCCTCCCTTCCCTGGGAGCACATAGTTTCTTCCTTTCTTGCGTAATTTAACTTTCCTCCATTTGGACTGAAAATACTGCCCCTCGTCACCCCCCTTGTCCCCCAAAGCTCCTGTCAAAGCAAACACCCTGGGCTTCCCTGGTGGCGCAGTGGTTGAGAGTCCGCCTTCCGATGCAGGGGACGCAGGTTCGTGCCTCGGTCCGGGAGGATCCCACGTGCCGCGGAGCGGCTGGGCCCGTGAGCCATGGCCGCTGAGCCTGCGCGTCCGGAGACTGTGCTCCGCAATGGGAGAGGCCACAACAGTGAGAGGCCTGCGTACCGCAAAAAAAAAAAAAAGCAGACAGGGAAGTGGCGGGAGGGGCAGTCCTGAGCTGGGCCAAGGGTCTCCAGGCCACGGCCTCAGGGGAGGATGTTCTTGGGACCCTGCTGGGGGAGGGGACAGGACTGACCCCTGTTGACTAGGAAACTACACGGTGGTTCTCAACTGGAACCACCTGGGAACTTAGTAAAGGATCCAGGCCTGATCCCACCCCCAGAAATCCAGTCACCTTGGTGATGTGCGGAGGTCTCTGGGTGGTGGTGCGGCCCGGCAGAGAAGCACTGCCTTAGAGGGTGCAAGGTGGGGGGGCCCCAGAGACGTCTACACCGGGGTCATTGTGAGATGCAAGATGAGGCCTCAGCCCCCGAAGCTGAGCGCATTATTTTACGTGGATGACGTTTCTCTGGGCAAAGCATCCCAAGCTTTTTATCAGATTCTCAGTGGGTTCCATGTCCCCCAGCAGATTAGGTGTCCCCAGTGCTGTCCACACGTACCCCTTTGGGTGGTTCCAGATCCGATGCTAAGCCTGTGGAGTTGACAAGCCTAATGGATGACGTGCCTATTTCTATAAAGACACTACACGCGTCAAAAGTTAGATCCACTCAGTGTGGTCACGTTGACTATTTCATGCTGCTCAGAATCTCTTCTTGGTACTACCACGTGCCTTTGATTAATAAAAAATGAGAAATGAACTATTACTTAATGCACTGTGTTTGATAGGCAGAAACCCTTCAAAACGTAAGACCCATGGGAAAAAGTAATCAAAGGGGCCCTTGGTGGGTATAGGTTGGGAACCACTAGCCTAACACGTCCACCTTGTTTGAGAGATGAAGAAACTGAGGCCCAGAGAGGTTAAGGGACCATCTTTAGGTCACACAGCCAGTTATGCGCAGTTGAGACCCTCTCTCAAGCCTCCCGGGCATGCTGTAGGGGCAGAAAGATTATGTGCAGAATATTTTGCTGGAAACCCTCACTTGACACAATCCTGTTGACCCAGACGGAGGAAATTCCTCACTGGTCCTGGAGGTTATGTGGCCAGAGGTAGCCCACGCTCCTGAGAATTAGAAAGCCTGTTGTAGTCCAGGATTTCATCCAGCCTAAGATACCATCACTTGTAAGATACACCATTGTTTTCTGTACCGCAAGGCAAGAGTGTGGCCAAGCGTGGTTGTAAGATGCCATCAACCATAAGATGTGTCTGTTTGGAGATGTTGAAACGGGAGAAAAAGTATGTGCCGTGGAATCAAAGGAGGTGGATCCCATTTGGAGCCGTGCGACGTCCTTCCACCTGGTTCCCTTACCCGCTAGAGGTGCTAAGGGGGATGAAACGCCCCTTAAAAGAAAACAGATGTATCTAAAAAGCAGGAGTGAGTAGGGGAGCTGGCCCAGCCCAGCGTGTGCGATCCCAGGACAGAGTCCCACACTGGCCCTCAGCAGACCTGGGTTTGCATCTCAATCTCGAAACTCTGGGTGGGTTTCTGGGGGGGCGGGGGGGGGCGTGTGCAGGAGGGTGTCCTCTCGAGCACGCTCTATTCTCTCCAGCCTCCATTTCTTCATATGCAAAAGAGAAAACGCCTGCTCCCACCTGCCAGCCCTAAGCCTCCTGAACTACTGTGAAGCTCGAAGAGGCGCCTGGTGCAGCCTCGTTGCTAAGGAGCTTCCGTCTGCCCCGCTGAGGTCTGCGAACGGCAGGCGGGTTATACAGAGTCATCGGGGCAGTGGGACCGAGCCCACTGGGGCTGCCCACCTTCAGCCACACTCAGGACCCCCTGAGGGAGCAGCAGCCCCCATCTGAGAAGAACTCATCCTCAGATGAGGCAGGGAAGCTGGGGGCCAGACGGACATCTGCCTTCCCAGGAGCAGGTGGCAGATCTGGTCACAGGTGCCGGGGTCCTGCCCCCCAGCAAACCCTGGGCCGACACCCCTGCTGTTCACCATCTGGCACCTCGGGGTCACACACACACATACTTTGCCCAGGATCACAGCCACAGAAAGGGTCATTTAGCCTCACTGCAGAAGGAACAGGGCAGCTGTATTTCCCAGGGTCCCTTCCTGGGATCAGGGCCGAAAGGGATCAGACGGTCAGCAAAGAGGACACCTCCCCCCCGCTCAGTGTCCTGCCGTCCCAGAGCGACTCCAGCCTGTGGAGCGTGTGTCCCTTCCTTTGGGGGGGCAGCTCGGCTGAGCTGCAGACCCGGGCTCTGAGCTGGGGCTGGCCCTGCCCTGTGTCGCCCCACAGAGGCGGCCCTCGGGCAGCTCCCCTTCCTCTGTTGGCCTCGTCCTCTGTCTGTAGAGCAGAGATGAGAAGCCCAGTCGCGCTTCCCCCACAGGCGATGAGAAGGGGGCTTGTGAAAGTGGCCCGCCAGGGATGCAAGCCAGGGAGGAGCGCTCGGGGTTGGGGGCGGGGACGGCGGGAGGGGGTCCCCACAACTGGAGTGTCCCTGCCTCATGACGGGGACGCATGGGCATCGTGGTGGGAAGCATGGGACCGGGAGTCAGACCTGGACCCAAACTCTGTCCCTGCCTCTCCACTCGACCATGGGTAAGCCTCTGTTTCCCCATCTACAAAATGGGCAGCCAGACACTTCCCACAGGCTTCTCAAAGGACCAAATGAGATGATGCACGAGAAGGGCCTCGTAGGCGGTGGGTGCTCAGACCCGGTGTCCCGCAGATGGGGGGTGCCGCGGTCATGGCCGTGGGCGTCTGGACCCTGGTGGAGAAGAGCGGCTACCTCGGCGTCCTGGCCTCCAGCACCTTTGCCGCGTCCGCCTACATCCTCATCTTCGCGGGCACGCTCGTCATGGTGACCGGCTTCCTGGGCTTCAGTGCCGTCATCCGCGAGGACAGGAGCTGCCTCTCCGCGGTGAGTGTCTGCCCGGCCCTGCCCAGCGCCGTGGGCAGAGGGAGGGCCACCTGCCCCGGGCTTCTGAGAGCCTGGCCCCCTGACCAGGCTCCGCTCTGAGAGCCCCACCCAGTGACACTGGCCTTGGTCTTGGAGGCCTCGGGAAGGCTGCCATGGTCTCCAGGTGCTTGGGACCTAAGCCAGGAGGGCACCTTGGAGGTAGCGGCAGCACTGCTCCTCCCCTTTTTTCTCCTCCCCCCCCCCCCCCCCCCTCTTCCTCTGTCCAGATTTTATCATGGTGATTTTCAAAAACAGGCAAAAATGAAAAGAATGTTACAATGAAGCTCCAGGTCACCACGCACACTCACTACCACCATGTCAGAGCCAGTCCTGTCCGTCTGCGCCCTCCCCCGCTCCCCGCCCCACCCAAGACCCCAGATATCATGTCGCCTGTAAAAATTTCAGGGTGTACCTCAGAGACGTAAGGATCCTTTTTTTAGAAGAGGTAATGACAAGACCATTATCACACCTAAAAACAATTAACAGTCATTCCTTGATATCATGAAATAACCAGGCAATTCCAAATTTCCCCAATTGACCCATAAGCTGTTCTTTTTTTTTTTTTTTTTTTTTTTTGCAGTTTATTTGAATCAGAATCTAAATTTGTAAGGTCTGTGTATTAGAGTTGGTTGATTTGTCTCCCAAGTCACTTCTAGTCTCTAAGCTCCCCATCAATCTCTCTCTGTTTTTTTTTCTTGCAATTTACCTGTTGAAGGAACCAGGTCATTTGTGCTTTACTCTCTCCCAGTCTGGGCTTTCTGATGCCTTGCTGGTGATGTTCTCGTAATTGGGTGTAGAAGCTCGATCAGACTCAGGTGTGATTGTTTGGGCAGGTGTTTCATGGGTGAGGTGGGCAGCACAGGCTCCGTGTCGGATGCCCCCCTGGAAAGCTGAGAGGACACCTGCACCCCACCTCTGGCTCCAAGTGTCAGGAAAGGAAGGGCTGCACTCGAGGGGGCAGAAGCTGGAGTCCCACTCAGGACTCCCAGACCCTCCCTCCCTCCTGGGCACCTGTTGCCAGGGCAGGCTCCCTGGGGCCCGGGTGGCATCTCCCCCTTCATCTCCCCAGCGACAAGCCCAGTGCGGGCAGGGTAGGCTACAAAACATCTGGACTCAGAAAGGAAGGGCCGGGGCTGGAGTCAATCAGCCTGAGCCTGAAAAGGCTGCAGGAAGAAGCCTTGAGGGCTATGCCCTCCCTGCCCCGCTTCCCGTGCCCGTCACTGACGTGGCAGCCTCAGCCCCCCGCGTCTGACCAGAGAGAGGAGGGTCCGGAGGGGCCGAGCCCCGCCGCCTCTTGCGCCAGCCGTGACCTAGCTTTTCGCTCTGGAGGCAGCAGCACCTGCGCCCAGGCTCAGCGGGACAGCCCTCCCCTGCCTAGCAAAAGTCCTTAGCTCTGCTGAGGGTCGCCCAGAGCAGGGTGCGGGCCGCGTGGATGGTGGGGGGGTGAAGGCCCACGGGGACCAGCCACCAGAGCGTGGCTTTGACTTGAGCTGTCCTTCCAGCCGTGGGACAGGGGTGCCCTGAGCCAGCCTGTCCCTGCCAACCGTCCCCAACTCCTGAGTCCTGGTGAGCCTGCTGACACCCTTGATCGGACCCATGTGAGCTGGATGAGGACACGAGACATGACTGAGGGACCGGGCCTGTGGTGTAGCTGGTGGTGAGGGGCAGAGAGGTCCAGCCCTCTGGGACTGAGGCTTACAGGGACCGGGGCTCCTGGGCCCAGAGAGAGCCCGTCCCCTGCATCATCCGTGACCCCCTTTGCCCTGCTCAGCCCTGGTCTTGCGGGAAGCAGGGCCTTCGCCTTGGCCTCTGGTCTCGGGCTGAGCCCTCTGGCCTGGGAGGCAAGCTGCCGGCCCTCCTTCCCACCCAGAGCCCTCCCTCTTGGTTCTAAAGGAGTCCTGTGGCCCGTGGTCCCCTGCAGCCTGGGAAACAGCCCCCTGCTTTCCACCGGGGTGCAATTATAACACAATGGGCTTGGATCACGGAGCGCCCCCTTCCTCTAAAAGCAGCCCTGCAGAGTCACAAGCGTCGTAACCTCTGTGTGCCAGGCCGTTCTAAATGCTCAGGCGTGTTAGTTCCTTTGATCCTCATGCCAGCCCCACGTTTTGGAGGCGAGGAAGGTGGGGTTAGAGAGGTTAAGCCATCAGGTCTGGGTCACACTGCTGGCGGGTGGCCGTCCCCGGGCCCCTGCTCCCACCCGCCGCTCAGCACAGCCTCTAGAAGGTGCCATTCACCCCCAGGTGAGAAAGCTGGCCTGGGAGACATGGGGCCAGCGAGGGCCGGGGCTGCCTTGTGATGCTGCTCTGTTAGAATCACCTCCGCGTCACCTGGGGAGCCCAAGCGTGATGGAGGGAAGCCGAGCGGGACAGCGAGTGCAGAGACACCGTCTCCCGAGTCTGTGGACACCTGCGCAGAGCAGCTGCCCTCAGAAGTCTGGGGGTGCAAGAGTGACTCCTGCGGGGCCCAGCTAGGCCCCAGGGCAGGAGACGGGGTGGGGTGGAACCCTAGAAGCCCTTGCCCTCATTATAGTGCAGAAATAACTGTGCACGGTCAGAACTCATCCAGGCTAGAAGGGAACCCAAGGGCCATCGAGTCCAACACTCCATCCAAGGGGCTGCAGGACCCCGGGGAGAGTGGGGGTCACCCAGATGTTAATGGGGGCACTCAGCGTCAGTGGCCTTTTTGGAGGCTGTCAAACCATAAGCTCTTTTCCCCTTGGCGTCTCGGAGACCAGAGGAGAGCCGAGGGGTCTGTAATTGGCCGCTGTCTGCCTGCCCAGCCTCCCCTTCCTACACGATCCATCCGCGAGACATGTCGCGCCATCCAGGCCAAGCCATTATGAAAACACGTCTCCAGCCTCCGCAGTCGCAGCCTGACCGTCACTTGGCCTGGGGACCAGCCCTGTGCCCGGGGCCGGGCAGAGACCGTGCGAAGACTTAGGAAGCCCAGGGGCTCGGTCTGGCCTGTGGGCCGGGAGCACACCTCTTGCTCCAGGCTTCTGAACTTCAGAGGGTCAACAAACAGGTGGGCCTGCTTGTCTCCCTGGGCCTGGAGGCAGGGCTGGGGGGCGCAGGGGCTGCTGGACAGGCAGGTGTGAGATGCCGTCCTTCTTCCCAGCCCCACTTGACCCTCCTGCCCGCGTTCACTTCTATACCGCCCAGAACTGGTGAGTTCTCTGCCCCGACATCACTAACCAGACACATCAGAGAGGCGCCAACTTGAAAGTGAGGTCAGGAAAAAGTGCGTGTGTGGACACACACACACAGCCACCCACCGCCAGCAGCGTGGGGATGAGAGCTGACAGACAGCAAACCTCGAAGCCTCGCATCTTCTTCCTTTGCTTTTCCCCGCCCGACCCCTGAAAGAACCAAAGACAGACCAAGTCCAAGGACAGAGCACAGGTGAGGGGGCGGGTCCTGAGGAACCCACACCCTGGCCCATTGGCCTCTGAATTACTGAGCATTTGAATGTTTAAGCCAGGAAGACGGCTGGAAGACTTCTCTTGGGTTAACACAAAGTAGGAATTTTAAAACCCATGCTCCCATTTAGAGGCAAAAGGGATACTTAAGTCAGTCTAAAAGTGTTCTGTGGTTCCTGGAGCTTCTTCCTTCCTGGTCTCGTTTCTTTCTTCCCCCTTCGTGTCTAACTTCCTTTTGAAATCTTTAATCAGCTAAATGGACAAATGCAGTGAGGGTAGCTCTATACAAAGCTCTCCCTAAAGAGGAAAGGGGACGATGAAAGACCAGGCATCTGAATGATGGGCGTCCACCTTGGATTAGGAGGAGGGAGGGGCTTGACATCAAAAGTTCCCTGCGAGCTGCCTGGTGAGGGCGGTCCAGCTCCCTCGGGCCCCGGGGCCGGTGTCCGTCCTGGCCCGAGCCCCTCCCCCAGCACATCTGCAGCCCCTCAGACTCACTTTCTCAAGAAGCAAATGTTCATCGGAGACAGGAATAGCACATCTTCACCGGTGCTGAAATGATGACCAGCGCGGAGCCAGAAATCTGCAAGGGGGAAAGGGAACAGGGTTTAAATTATTCACACCAGATCTTCTTTTTTAGCCGAGGCTGCATGAGAGAGCCAGATAATTCAGGCCATCTCAGCCCAAGGCCGATGACCAGCACAGATGTCACCCTGATCCGAAGAAAGGGATATTTGTAGCGTTTGGAATATGGGCTCTGAACACTTCTGTATCTTCAGCCAAATGAAGATTGGGATAGATGGTTCAGGCTCCACTGGTCTTTGTCAGGGTTCTTTTCTATTTAGGGGATGGACTCAAAAGGAGGGAGTTGTAGAAACAGTTTCTGAAAATGAGGGGCCCCCAAGTTGCAACACTTCCATCAGATACGTCCAGACTTGGATAACCAAAGGAGGAAGGACTGCGGCTGAAAAGCAGTTCGTAGTGCATCCTGCCTGGCCTGCTCCGGGACCTCTGGGAAGTCACCCGGCCACCGTGGTATCCCCATCCCCATTCAGGGGTGAGGAGTGAGGAGGGGAACAAGGCAGTATTTTAGCTCTTAGGAAACGAGTCACCACATTATATAAAGATCGTAAAGTGTGGCTATAATTATCACTTGCATCACCATCACCAGCTCCTTTGAGAAGAAGCCTAAATAAACGGAGTTATTCTTAGGCCCGTGACTCCCAGGGTCCTCACAACTTGCTGGGACACTGTGTAGAGGCAGGGGATGCAGGTGGCGTGGAGGGTGCCCAGGTCCCCTCGCCCAGGCCTTGGACCGTGTCCTCCCCGGGCTGGTTCCTCACCCACATGTTACTTTGCCAGGGCCCTACCAGCCACCCAGCCGGCTGGTCACATCCTCGTCTGTTGGTGGTACTCTGGCCTTTGAGTCACTGCCCACGTGCGTCAAAGGAATGGGTCCTGCAGCCAAGGCCTGGGGAACCCCAGCTCCGCCCCATTGGAAGGAGAGGGCCTCTCCTCATCCGCTTGGCGTGGGCAGGAGGAC